TTATATTTACAACATTATAAAAACTAATACAATCCAATATTATAAATAAATATAAAATTTTTTTATTCATAAATTTATAAACATTTACTAACTTATTAAAATATTGGAATCAGCTATAAAGAAATCCTTATTATTTTATAAAGTTTAATTGATTGACAATTAGTCAATGTTTTGCCAAACATTCCAATAAACAATAGTGTAAATACACAATCTAATACAGTGTTTATTATTTTTGCTGTCAATTCTCAAGAACAAAGAAAATGTATAAATTGACTTTCATCAGGTTTGTTTTATTATAATTCTAATCATCACATTTAAAAAACAATAAACATTGCCAAGTAGAGAAGGTAGTTAAAATAATAGTACTGTCAAGGGGAAAAACAGTCCTTTTGACAGTGTTTTTTGTGGGCATGAAGATCCAAGACTGCCAAATCAACATATCTACTTATTCAAAAGTCACATAAATGCCTTCATGCGATTATATATATATATATATATATATATATATATATATATAAGGCACATATACAACTGTTAGTAGGTCAGATGTGATTTCCATGCATATTTATACACATACTTGTATCTCACTTCTGTTAAGTTTGTTTATTATATTTACTATTGCTTTGATAGAGAAAATTACATAAAAAACTTGATTGTTCAAAGGTTGCAACATATATGAAAACACCTAATCTTCCTCCTTGAATATAATTGATGTTCTATCTAGAACAGCATAATCTTGCATGTAAGATCAATTATAAAGCAAGGAAATAAATAGAGAAAGTCTTTCTGGGTGATCCAAGACAACTGGACTAATTATTGATCTTATATTGTTACTGAATTTTATTTTTTAAAAGTCAATTAAAATCTGTTTTGTGGTGGTTAGTTCATGAATGACAAATACATACACAAATATCTGTGTTTAAATTTTATGCAATAGCTACATATCAATAAAAAGTTTGTTTTTTTTACTTATTTATAGAAAGATTTCACAACCATGGAATTGTTTTTATGATAGTCTTAAAATAAAAGGAACATATTTCTTTTTGTGTTATAATTTGAACCAAGAAATGCACAGACAGATTCAATACTACAAAGCTATTAGTTATTATTGAATCAATTTGCTGGGTTTGTTGTGAGGGAATTTGTTCTGCTGTGCCACGCCAAACAATTTTTCTTGCCAGAATCGATCTTACACATTTATAAGTCTACTATACATCCTTGCATTAAATACTGCGGTCACATGTGGTATGATGCTTCTGCTATGCATTTAGAGATTCTTGATAAAAATCCAAAGAAGAATCTGCAATGTTATTGGCCCAGACCTGACATCTTGGCTTCAGTCACTTTCTCACCACCATAACATAGCTTCCCTGGAGCACATTGACATGATGTAATGGTTAGAAAGTTTGTCTCACTAGAACAATTACGACCGAGTAGTGAGTTTGATCCTCACTGTGTGCCCCATACTTTCAGTCTTGTATCACATCTAAGCTGTACTTAGAAAATCACCATAGTGTAGCTGACCTGTGCCATTTCTATAAATAGTCATGGTAATTGTTTCGATAAACTTTTGTCTTTGGCACTTAGACTATGAATTTAAGTGTAGTACTAGATTAGCAAAAAGGTTTCATCATTTTACATTTGAAATGGCTGGAGGTAACTGTAAGTTCTATACTAACAGTTATTTTTCTTATGCATTTCTCACTTGTAAAATACTCTTCCAGCTTCTCACTTTCCAGTCAACTGTGATTTTCAAAAAGTTAAATGTAATGTCAATCATTATCTTCTTTCAATTTAATTCTTGTCCTTTTATTCTCTCTCTTTAATGTTTTTTTTTCTCATTCTTTCACTCAGTAATCCTTTACATATTAGTGGCTTTATTGCCTTGCTTGTTCAACCATAAAAAAAAAATTCAAAAGTATTTAAGAAAAGAAAAAATATCACACAAAATCCCTAAAACTTTTATATAAAATAATAAGCTGATTTCAAATTTTTTTTTTTTTAGAAAGCCATATTCAAAAGAGATTCTGCTAAGTAAAAGAAAGTAAATAAAAATCCTTAAAAATTTGCTTTGAAAAATATCTTAAGCTGAAGAAAATGATTAAACTCAAAATAAAATATTTTTCCTTTGGCATGTGCGCCTTCTCAAAAAGAAAGATTTTACATTTACAAAACACTTCCAAAATCCTAAGCTAATTCACCATGTAATACTAAAAAATTAAATTTAAGCTCAAAGTAAGCTTAACGTACAATTTCTATTTAAAAAAACAAACAAAAAACAACAGTAACTGGTACTTATAAGTAAGACATTAAGAATACAATTTTATTCAACAATTAAATTAAAGACTGATATTACATCTTTTTCTCCAGTTTTTAGTCATAATAATAATCAATCAAACCATATAATAATTATCAATGTGTATTTATTTATACATTTTCTGTCCCATCTGTAGTGGGAAGGAAGGTAAATCAACTAAAGTTAGTAAATTTACGAATGATTAATTCCCTTAGTCATTTTTGTAATCTATACAAATATTTATCTGTATTTAGACAAAATTAGTCCAGAGCAAAATGAATCATTTAACTGATCAATTCTAATAACTCCTACGTTTCTTAGATTGCAGTCTGTGTTCAAGCTTTTCATGTGAGGCACTCAGATACCTTTGTCTATTAAGTGATTGTCTTGCTTCAACCTGGTCTTAAAATAAGCTTTGCTGTTCTGTTGCCAATCTTTTTCTTCTGAGAGATATTTCCATTTCAATGTTATATTAAACACAAACTTTTTAACATGAAAACATAATGAGCAAAAAGCAACTTATATAATACAAGGAGTAATCAATGAATCCTAGATACCAGTGAACGTCTAAAAAGTATAAAGGGAACAGATTAATTAAACAGTTCATTAGCCTCTGCTTTAGTTACAAATTACCTCCACTTTGTTGAATCTTAATACATTGTTTCAAGATTTTTGTTTCATTGCATCTCATTAAGACTTTCTAACAATATCTGTCATTTCTAATGGTAGAGGTACACTAGTAGGAATAATATTAGATGCCCTGATGGTACACCAGGCATGGCTCTCATGGCTTCAGAGATGCTAACATGTGCATATTTTGTCTTAGTGAATTAAGATGGGCTATAGTAAATATCCAGTTCAGTAGTAGATATTTGCTTGTCAGTTACCCGCATCCATAAATGTGTGGTCATATCCCGTAGTGGCTAACACACTGTACATCTCTGTTCATGAGCAGTGGGAGAGCATCATAGCTGAGTGTCAAAGGATTTGTTTCGGGGGCTGAATGATGAGGTAGCAAAGGAAACTTGAGAGTCACAACTAGATACTTGGAAATCTCCACAATCAGAGACCACCTGAGCAGATTGGGAAATACAATCTGAAGGTGTTTCTAATTGGTCCCCACCTGTAAGGTTATACTTGCTTTTATCAAAACCTGTCACCATATCATGCATTTGGCTGTGATGCATGTATCTGACTAGGTATCATAATGGATATATTAGATTTCATGTTACATAATTGGCATAATGTTCTGTTACTCAATTATAAAAAATTATCAACACAATGAAATCAAATATTTTTTAAATGCTTGATTATAAACTTAAAGAAAATATTACAGTTAATTGTAAATTTTCTACTTCAATGTTTATAATATTACATCATTTAGCAAATAAAATATTAACTAATACATGTTATTGAAGATCTGTTCTGTACACATTTAATCATACAGCAAATTATCATAGACATTTACAATGAAAAACTATAAAATTGCACAGAATATATTAACATCTAAAATGTTTCTGTGTTAATGATAGTCTATGAATATTTTCATGGCAATTGTTCTGATGAACTTTCCTCTTTGCTACCTAGACTTTATGAATTTAAATGCAGTACTAGATTAGCAGCTAGGTCTTATCATTTTACAGTTGAAATGGCTAGATGTAGCCATAAGTTCTATGCTAACAGTTTCTTCTCTCACATTTCTTTTCTGGCCTCTTGCTTTCCATTCAACTTTGATCTTCCAAAAATTGAAATGCAATGTCAATTGCTATCGCCAGTCTTCTTAATTTTTGTTCCTTTATTGTTCTCTCTCCTAAATATTGTTTTCTTTTTCTTATATTCTCTATCTTTCAGTAATTCCCTGCATATCAGTGGCTTTATAGCTTTGCTTGGAGGGAAATGAATAAAAAAAAAATATTTGATGATAGATAAGACATTCATCAATTAACAATATGACAAAGCTAGGCTATATACAAATACTAGTAGGTTGAAGCATTTAATCATCTACCAAATACCTCAACTTCACATATAAGATCTGGGAGATAATTTTTTTTTTGTAAAAAGTAAGGATATTTTCTTTGCCTTCAAATATGGTGTAAACTCTCTCACATACACACACACATATATATATATATGTGTGTGTGTCTGAAAAGCTTATCCTCCATACTCTTGATCTAGTTAAATATGGTTCCACATAAATAAAAGAGGAACATGAGATGAGCAAACTGAAAAGAGGCACACATTTCAGTCAAAATAATGTGAAAAACCCAAGTAGCCCCCAAGCACAAATAAAGCTATATATATATATATATATATATATATATAAAATAAGGCTAAATGGATCAAGAAAATAAGTCAGATTTACAGGTTTATGAACGGTTGAAAAGCAAATTCAGGTAACAATATACTCAAACGAACTGCAGTAAGGAGAGTTTATTGAGTGATTAATTTTTTTTTATGGCTTATCAACCTTTTGTGGGTTATTTAAAGCCAGAAATTTTTTTTAGATAGTAAAAAATCTTTTGGAGATTATGATTTACTGGTACAAGTCCTACTAATTAACCCATAGCTGAAGAGAGAAGAGATGGATTCATACCTTTCCCAAGACTTTTTGTGTGCAAGTGAATATAAAAATCTCAACTGGAATTGGAACTTGGCTGTTTGATTTCCAATTCCAAGTCATTATCACATCGCCTGCACATCCAAGCTTACAGCACCTGGTATTCCTAAGCAGTCACCCATCTAGGTACTGACAGGGCTCAACATTGCTTAACTTTGGTGATTGTATGAGAACTGGTGTTTCAATGTGACATCACTGTAAGGAGAAACTGGTTCAAACAGCATGAAATTATTCAACTTATTTTGTTAATATCTAAAAAGAGAAAACAAAAAAATTTAAATTCTATTGCAGAACCTCTTATAAAACCCAATCTAAGAATTGTTTATAAACTAGAGGCTAATTCATCAATCATTCTCATCAAATAATTCATGCCATATTATTTGATTAATGTCATATCAACTCCTTATGGATCATTTGATGCTGAAACTTGACTTTCTTGGGCACTTTGAAGTAATAAAAATATATATTATTCTGCTGTTACAATTGAATACATAGTACTTGATACTCAGCTTTTGTTCATATACATGTTTGTATGAACATAATTACTACAAGTAGTGATATATGTCTTTTATGTTGTAGTCTTGTTGAAGTTATATTTTGGAATGCAGTTTGATTTTTTTTTAAGAAATTGTAGGATATTATATGGATTAATTTCATGAAAGAGTTCTTTGGTTGATTTTGTTTAGTGTTTTGTTCAACGTCAATGGGTTATTCAATGCCAAAATCTAAATATTTTGAATGCAATTATATTACTTTGACTACACATAAAATGTATTGTTGATCATTTTGCTTTAAAAATGTATTAATTTTACTATAAATATGTATTGTTGGTAATTTAAAAAAAAAAAAAAATTGTATCGCTGGTATTTTTACTGTAAAAATGTATTTTTATACTTTCATAGCGTTTTGTTTTTGTTTGGGAGTTCACTATTTGCCCATAACTGGGACCCTAACAGGTGTTACCACCCCGAATTAGGGTGGACTTGGAAACAACAGCAATTAAGAGATAGTTCAACACTTCTCGAAACCTCCAAACAGAGGCCTTGCAACTGGATATAGTTTGTCATATTAAGGACTTCTGCCTTATTGTAAAAAACTATGTTGCTCAAATACAGAGTAAAAAAAATCATTCAGACTTCTAAGAGAGAAGGAATCTATGCCAAGAGTTACTTAATCTTAAAGTATTACACCACTGTATGGAAAAATTAAATGTTATGAAGCAGAAAGAAGGAAAAAGACAAAGTAAAAAAAAAAGGACATACTAACAAGCTAGGAGTATGTGAAACAAGACAGAAGAAAGAAAGAGGAGTATGACTAATGTTAGATAAATGTATTTTGGGGTACTGGCAAAGATGAAACTGAAAGGAAATCTATTCAATATAATGATCATTGTAGTATCTGGAATCATGTCAGAAGGAACCAAAAAAGAAATGGATGTTTTTTTTTACAACACTAGAAAATGTAAAATACTAGAGTAAGTCAAAAGAAATTATTGTGAAGAATCTAAATGCAAAAGGAAGAGAAAAAGATAGTGAAATGGTGAGTAAGTAGTGATTTGGATCATCTAATGACCAAAGAGAAAAACGGGTTATTAAATGCTCAGTGACCAGCCAAAAAGTAAGCAACATTTGGTTTGAAGAACACTGAAGATGTTTGCAGACAGAAAAATCAAGCAGAAAACAGTAAAATCCAGATAGACTAAATATAAACAATTTCAAAATACAATTTTGCCTTCTAAAAAACATACCTAAGTAGTAACTATGAGAGTGATCACCTCTCAATCATAAGTAAACTAAGAGTAAAATTACAAAAATTAAAGAAACTCAATCCAAAATGTAAACTGCAATATGACAATCACCACAGAAATTCCACTTGTAAACAAATATATGTAATCACAGTTAAGAACAATGCATTAAGGTAAGCACTAGTGACAACAAAGGAAATCATTCCAAGAAGAAAGACATGAAGTAGTTGATGGGTGAAATTCTCAATCTAATGAAAGAAACTCACCAGATAATGCCAAGAAATGGCACAAAATATGTTAAGCAAAAACACCAGAAACAAATGCAAGCAAGCATAAGACAAATATATTAAAAACTCAGAAAATATCCTTAGAAACAAAATAAATAAATAATGATGACTGCTATGTAATATTTAGTCTCCTTTATGGCAGTGAATGCTTGACAACTTCCTCACAATTGGAGAGAAGACTTGAATTCATGAAGATGTTCTAGTGACAAATATTGAGGATAATCATATACAGGATATGTGAGAATTAAAGAAGTTTTATGAATAGGAACTACAAAGAAACTGCTGCTAATAATCAGGAAGAGGCAGACTAAATCATCATGAGAAAAGAAGTCTTGGAAAATTTAACAGTCAGAGGGGATAATGAAGGCAAGAGTAGCAAGGGAAAACAGTGAATAACCAACCTTACAAGTTTGAGTAAATGGATGACAGAACAAGAAGCACAATGACAGAAGGATGGTAATAGGATAAGTTACTTAAAGCTATAAAAAGATAGGATGTTGTGGTGTTTTTTTTTTATATGTCATATCCTGAAAGGAAATGACATATAAAAAAAAAAAAGAATGAAAAGAAACTGAACAGAAGAGAGGAGTAACAGAGAAAAATTATGTAATTTATACAAAACATTTTTGGTGGTGTAAGGGCAAGGGAACAGGCTTTTCAAAAAAAAAAAAAAAAAAAAAAAAAAAAAAAGTGGATTAATGCAAAGAAAAAATGATTCTATTCTCATTTGGAATCTAATAGCACAAATGTTAGCTCATCCTTTGCTACCCCCATATTTTCTTACAGCCTTCATTGTATCCTCCCAGCATCCCTTAGAAGATGAAGAGCAGTATAATCCTTTTTGGGACCAACTGCTCTTAGTGAATAGATAACAGAAGAAACCAAAAAGAATCTGTAAAGACTAATGATAGACTGAAGGATCTAGCATAGAGAGACATTTGGCAAAAGCAATGGCAAGCTTGGATTAAAGTTGTTCCCCCAACCCCCAAAAAAACAACAGAAAAAAAAAAAAAGAAAATCTTGGAAGAGTATTGCCAGATAGCCCAATAAAAAGTGCAATGCATAAAATTAGTGGTGTGCTGATTGCATTTTTAATTAATAAATGACCAGAGTGTATAGAATGATCATATAACAACTTCATAAAAACAGAACAGGTAGCACTCCACAGAACAATGTCACAAGCAGAACAGTTATCTCAACAATATAAACAAAGCCTTTTTACACTATATTACATCATTTTTGTTAGGAGATAAACCAGAAAAAAAGCAGATAGCACTAAAATAAAAAAAAATATTTTACTACAGGGAAATACATGTTTATATTAAAAAGATACTTTAGCCAATGCAAGAGCAATAATAGATATCTGGGACTGCATAATCACCAGGGTCTGTGTTAACAACCTTAATGCAACACAGGTGCTGTACCAACTTAATGCCATATTAGTGTAGTGCAGTTGGAGTTAGGCTACAAACAGTGAGATATATAAAAAAAAAAAAAAAAGATTTGATGGAGTACAAGTAGAAAATACTGGAGTAATAATCAGTCATAAACCAACCTTGTTGGTCCACGAAACCCTGCCATCAGTTGTCGCCGTGGTGATTTTGATTTCAGCAATTCAGTGAACACTGATGGGGCTACATAGGTAAATCCCTGGAGGAAAAGATAAACATTACCTTAAGACAGAAAAAAAAAATATTGAAGAAATAAAAATTCATATAAATCAGTGAATAGGAAGGAGACTTTATTAACAGAGTGATACAGCCTGGCTTACCTTGTATTTTAATATCATTAATTCATGGTATGCACTTTAAATTACTGCCTATTAGAGAGTAAGAATTAACAGATTGGTTTTAAAAGTAATTTCTAAGGAGTTCACCCCAAACTTCATTAATGTAGCATTATGATAAATAATGTAGCATTATGATAAAGCTTCATTTTTGCATAAATTTAAGTTGAATGGAGGGGAAGAGGGAATTTCAGCATCTCAATGTCAAGCTTTGATAAAATGTATAAACAATGTTAGACATCTAAGTCTTGAAAAAAGATTTTACCCCCAAACCCAAAAAAAAAGTTGAGAAGATTCATTTTGACCAAAGATTATCTTTAGTTATTATAGACATGGTCAAAGATCTCCACTATAATATTTCTCAATTGAAGTTATCTACTCTTGGGGTAAAATTATATTTTTTCTAAAAATCAATTGATTCTCCCTATCAATTCATTGTTAATCATAAAACAGTTATATGGTAATAATTGTCATTTCTATTTCATTAGCAGCAGCTTTAAGAAATATATCAGTGTTGAAAAACAAAAATTTTTCTAAAGGTGAGGATATCACTCATAATGTTATTCTTGAAGATACTTTTTAACAATTCCTTTCAATTCAGGGGAAAAATTCTTTGATGGGATTAAATGAAAAGCAAGATATTTTATTTTGTCACTTTCACAAAATTATACTTCTTTAGTCCTTTTTCAAATCGATGCATTGTCCATTATAAAGATAACATTTTTTTAAACAACTTTTGAAAGCATTGCTCAAGGAAACTACTGAAATAATGAGTGGGATTTTGTTTTAATAAGTTCTGAAATGTTTAAATCCAGAAATATCACTAACAGCAATTATGTTAAGCTTATATCATTTAAAGTTCAATTCATAATTGCAGGCTAATCTCTCAGCTCTACCAAAGGAATAGGAATACTAAATATTATAGTTTTATTAACCCTTTGGCATTCAAAATGCCCAAACCCGCCCCATAAGTATCAGCTCTGAATGTTCAATCCACTCCATAATCCTCCATAATATATGATGACATTATTACAGTGTGATATTATTACAATGTGATATTATTTAGTGTGTTGAATGCTAAAGGGTTAATATAAACTCTTTGGGTATTCATCAGGTCATGTTTAAGGTAAATCATTGGTGGAGTTTTTGTACATTTGTTTAACTTTGTAATTGAATAGCAAGCTTCTTGAAACAACTGAATCAAGATGACAATCTCTTGTGACATATTTAAAGAAAGTCATTTTTTTTTTTTTTTATGAGTTGTTAAATTTTATTAAAATTTTTATTTTAACACTTTCACTGTAGCATTGTTACCTGGCCGTGCTGACCTGTTTTAGGAAAAATAGGAAATTGCCATTTATTGAAAATAA